GTAGGTGTCCTAGAGTGGGGGGAGGGGGCGGGGTCCCAGCGCGGGGGGAGGAGACGGGAGGAGGAGAGGGGAGGGGCGCGGGCCGGGGGTCCCAGCGCGGGCGTGGGGGCAGGGGGGCTCCCCAGGGTGAACCCGCAGCCCCCAGCTCAGGCCCCCGTCCCCGCGCCGCCCCGTCGCAGGCTGGTGTCCCTCCACGACAGCGGCTGGAAGGCCTTCGACGTGACCGAGGCCGTGACCTTCTGGCAGCAGCTGAGCCGGCCTCGGCAGCCCCTGCTCCTGCAGGTGACGGTGCAGACGGAGCACCTGGGCCCGCGGGCCGCGGGCGCCCACAAGCTTGTGCGCTTCGCCTCCCAGGGGCCGGCGGGCGCCAGGCAGGGCGAGCCCCAGCTGGAGCTGCACACGCTGGACCTGGGGGCCTACGGGTAGGCGCCCGGGCCGCACGGGGGGACCCCACTCCCAAGGCCAGCTCAGTCCGAGTGGGACTTTTCAGGGTGCCATGGGAGTGAATGGCCGCAGGAGAGTCCCTTTCAGTCTCAGGACTAAGGGCTCTCGTGATGTACCGTTTGGTTGTTGGTAGTGACCTGTCCTTATCGTTTTGAACATAATGAGCGCTGGGTGGCAAAGCTCCTCCCAGATGCCCCTCCCGGCCCCCCCGCCCCGGGCCCTCCCCGCTGACCTCTGCTTCTCCTTGCCCGCGCAGAGCTCAGGGCGATTGTGACCCCGAGGTGCCTGGGTCGGAGGCCCCCCGCTGCTGCCGCCAGGAGATGTACATCGACCTGCAGGGGATGAAGTGGGCTGAGAACTGGGTCCTGGAGCCCCCCGGCTTCCTGGCCTACGAGTGCGTGGGCGCCTGCCGGCAGCCCCTGCCCTTCAAGTGGCCGCTTCTGGGGCCTCGGCAGTGCATCGCCTCGGAAACGGCCTCGCTGCCCATGATCGTCCGCGTGGAGGAGGAAGGCAGGCCCAGGCCCCAGGTAGTCAGCCTGCCCAACATGAGGGTGCAGAGCTGTAGCTGCTCCTGGGACGGGGCGCCAGTGCCCCGGAAGCTGGAGCCTTAGGTGTGGGGCGTGGCCACCGCGGCGCCGCCCTGAACAGGTGCACAGAAGCAGGTCTGGACGTAGGTGTTAATTTCCTCCTTAGCAAGTGACCCCTGGCCCCACTCAGCGCCCCTGTTTTACTTTTCCTGCACGTTCTTCCTTTTCTTGTCCTCCTGTGCATCACCCCCACCCTAAGCACTTAGGTAGCTAATGCGGCTCAGATTGCTGAGCTCTAGAAGGAAATCCCAGCCTCCTTGTTAAGGAACACAGCCGGGCATGGGCAGACTGCACGCGGGGAGCCTCTCTATGGCAAACTCTCAGCTGAGTATGGACAACATGCCCTATGATGTGAGCTGGGGAAACAGACTGATTTACTCTACTGCATGATGGGAATTAAAACAAAAATTTTTAAAATCCCCCACTTTCCCCTGGGTAGGGAGGAGTTAAAAAAAAGAACACCCCTTCCCCAAAACGTTGACCCATTCTGGACTCTTGTAAACATGCTTGGGTCCCCACTCCCTTGAGAGATTGCTAGGAGGGAGGACGATGGGCTTCCAGCTGGGGTACTTGGTTTCTGGATCAAACAGGGTCACAACTGTGACCTCAAGCCAATGGGGAAGCCTTTGGGCCACCATTTCCTCTTAAAAGAGAGGAGGTGGGAGTCAGCTGAGTCATTACCCTGGGGGTCAGAGAGCCCAAACTTCACCGGCTCCCCTGCAGACCCAGCTTTTCCTGTGTGTAGTTAGGTTATTTCCCCCACTGTTTTAGAAGCTTTACCACCAGAACCCAAATGTATTTACTTTTTAAAAAATGTAGCCAAAACAGTTGAGTGTAGATAATATGCCAAAATAAAGTGACGGTTTGCTCTGTGTCTCTGCATTTCGTTTCTGGTACCCTTTATACCAGAGAGAAGGGAGTGATGATGGGGATGAGATCTCATAATGATGTGAAGAGATGGGGAGACCAAGACCCCCGGTCTCTGGGGGTGCCAAACACTGCAATAACTAGGTTTGGATTAAGCTTTCATTTCTAATACTTACATTGTCCCCCAGCTCTCACTCCAAAACCGGTATCGTAAACAATCAGTCACACGGGCCACCTCTTTAGAAAACACTTTCCCCCTGGCAGTGTTTATGGGGACAGACATGGGGTGACAGTGGTGTGGCAAGCAACCTAACATTTATTGATCACTCACTGTAAGCCAGGGTGCTGGACCAGGCAATTTTGTATACCTTACATCACTTAATTATTGCAACGAATTCCTTAAGGTAGGTATTATGATTCCCATTTTCCAGATGAGGAAATCGAGGCAGGGCGATGCAAAGCTGTTGAATCTCTACACTGAGGCATGGGTTATAACACTCCTTCCCACTGTGCTCCCCCCATCCCCCCACGTAAGCGTGTTCTGTTGATGACATGGGCGTTAGCCACCAGGTCATCTGGAAGCGGCCACACCTGGCAGTGCCCTAATGTAACCTTTCTAGGCAGCTGGGTTTCCTTATGCCTGGCTGTTGAAGTTCTTGGGCTCTGTTTTCACCCACAAAGCTCATTAATAACAACGGACTAGTGGAGGGGAAAATGGAGCCAGTCTCTGGACAGCCAGGATCTGAGAACGTGGCAAGCATATGGCTGGAGGCAGGGGAGAGGACTTGGCTTGGACAGAAAGGCCTAGATCACCTCCATCAGACATCTGAATGAAGCCCTTCCGCGTGGGATGCTGTGAGGACCAGGGCAGACCGTTGTTTTCTTTACAAGAAGAGTATCCATACCTTCTAAAGAGTTCCACCAGCTACTCAGTGACCTATCTGCAGACTCCCAGCCAGACCATTCAATCAGTGGCAAGGATGGGCCTGCTCCCATCATCCCCTGTGAGCTAAAAAGTCCAGGAGATCCGCCTTATTTCAAAATATAAGGATGTGTTCTTCAGCACAGCGAGACGGTGTGGTACATAGAATGTTTTCCCCAATATATCCATGCCTCCCAATCCTTGGAGCCTGTGACTCTGTCATTTTATATTTCAAAGGGGATTTTGCAGATGTGATTAAGGTTACAGACCTCAAAATAAGGAGCCGATCTTGGATTAACCAAGTACACACAATCTAATCACAGGATTCCTTCAAAGTAGAGAACTTTGTCTGGCTGGAGGCACAGAGATGAGGCTTTAGGGAAGGTCAATGAGAAGATGTGACCGCCAGTTGACCCATGAGCTGGACCCGGGCAAGGGAAGCTCCTCATCCCCTCTCCTGCCTTTGGAATGTTCCAGTCACCTTGCCCAGAAGCTGCCCCCAGGACAGCCTTGAGACAGTGATGTGGTGCTGGGACCATCAGTACAAGACTGAACCCCCCCCCCCGCCGAGGCCTCTCTATGAACAGTTAGGATGTGGCCAGTGGACGCAGGGATCCACCTTCTCGCAGCCCCCAAGACAAGGCTCGTAGGTCGGTTCCCTGAGCTCCTTCAACCCATCTGGAGTGGCCTGCCTCCTTCCTCCATCCCTCCCTGTCCACTGTGTCTGGGCGCTGGCTTGAGATCACACCCGGAGCTCCCAGGAGGATGCGAACCAACAGAGGCAGAAGAGGAGGCCAGAAAGATTTGAAGCAGGAAAAGGACCGGACCTGCCGTTACTGGTTTGCAGATGAAGGGGACTGTGAGCCCAGGAATGTGAGAGACTTTGAGAAGCTGAGAACAACCCCTGGCTGGCAGCCAGCAAGGAAAGGGGACCTCATTCCTACAGCCACATGGAGCCAAATTCTGCCAGCCCCCTGAATGAGTCTCGGTGCCGAATCTTCCCCAGAGCCTCTAGAGAAGGACTCGGATCAGCTGCCACCTTGATGTGGCCTGTGGGACCCAGAGCAGAGAAACCAGCTGGACCCACTGACCACTTGTGACCTGCAACACGTGAGGTAACACATTTGTTCTGTGACGCAAAATTTGCAGGACATTTTTATGGCAGCAGAAGAAACGAAGACAGTCCGCCAAAGTCCATTAGAAGTGAGGTGTAATTATAATGTTTTCACTTAAAAGACAAAGTAACAGCATTAAAGGTAATTTTGAATGACTTGAAAATTGCCCATAATCCCTATGGTTTTTGCATGTCTCCTTTATATACAACCTGACCTGTTCACATACAACATGAACACATACTTGTTTTAAAAATCAGGTTTAGGGGCACCTGGGTGGCTCAGTCGTTAAGCGTCTGCCTTCGGCTCAGGTCATGATTCCAGGTCCTGGGATCAAGCCCCGCATCGGGCTCCCTGCTCTGCGGGAAGCCTGCTTCTCCCTTTCCCACTCCCCCTGCTTGTATTCCCTCTCTGGCTGTGTCTCTCTGTCAAATAAATAAATAAAATCTTAAAAAAAAAAAATCAGGTTTAAGGGCGCCTGGGTGGCTCAGTCTGTTAAGCGTCTGCCTTCGGCTGAGGTCATAATCTCAGGGTCCTGGGATCAAGTCCCACATTGGGTTCCTTGCTCAGCGGGGAGTCTGCTTCTCCCTCTGCCTCTGCCCCTCTCCCCCTGCTCGTGCTCTTTCTCTCTCGCTCAAATAAATAAAATCTTTTAAAAAAAATCAGGTTTAAGGTGTGCCTGACTTACAGAACAAAGAAGTGTCGAGTTATATTCCAAAGAGTCACACTGGATCTCTTTAGGTGGTGGGATTAAAAGCAATGTTCATTTTTCCATTTGCTCAAATTTAAATTTTTTCTACAATCAACATGGGTTATTTGTGTGATTTAAAAAAAAAGAAAGAAAGAAAGAAAAAGAAAAACCCATGCAAAATGTGCCTCCCTGGAGAGGTCCCTAAGTTAGGACGGACTTGCCTTAGGATTAGCTGAAAGCAGCTCAGGATCCTCCCTCATTCCCTGGATCTGTCCATTGTTAGACCAGATGAGCCAGCTCATTAGATCAGAAAGGAGGCCCGGAGGCCCTGGGGGGTGAAGGACCGGAGAAGTGGAGGCAGAAATGATGCATTATCCACTTTGTCTGGGAAGGCAGGAGGGGGAGGAGTGGGACTGTGGGGAGGGAGGAGGAGGAAGGGCAGCAACAGTTGACCTAACTGACCAGGAGAGGAGGGGGAGGATGGAGGAGGGTGGTGGGGGATGAAGGTGGGCAGTCCCAGAAGCTTGGTGAGCTTCCCCATTTTCCTTCAGGGCTTGTCTCTGCCTGATCAGATGGAGTAAAATGGAGAGGACACAGGTGCTGGACATGGAGAGCCTGTGTCCCCGGCCAGTTGGCAGCACCAGGCTGGGGCCCTCCTGGGGGGGCGTCCTAAGTAGCTGGGGGAGGAGGGCGCTTTCCTCCCTGCATCTCGCCAAGGGAACCCTGGCAGGACCTTTAGAGTCAGCAAGTCATTACAAGAGAAGGAAATGGGGGTGCCTATCATTAAAACAGAATAAAACTTTGTACATATAAACTTTAAACTTTGGAGATGAAAAAAAAAAGATAGATCTCCAAGTACCACAAAAAAATAACCAGTTTCTGGCCAGTGGCTCACCCGTCCAGGATCTGTGAGGAGGGCCACGTGACTTGGCTGCGCCCTCTCTCACGTGGCCTGGCCCAGCCGGTGGTCAAGTCAACACAGGGGCCACCAACATGGCCTCCCTCCCTGGGCCCCGGAATCCTCCTCACATCTCACCTCTACTCCTGGACGCCAAAGCAGGAGATGCCACGGCCACCAGGTCACGGATGGATGGTTGTGCGGAAGGAGTGAGACACCGCACTCCGCCCCACCCCAATCTTGTGTTTGCAGGCCAGAGCCAGAGACCAGGGGAAGCAAGGGGACCTGCAGCCTTCCAAACGGACTATGGGGAGCCCTGCTCCCTCAGAGGAGCCGACAGCATTCAGAAGCTCCCACCTTCCCTGCTGCCTGCCAAAGATTCTTCTACTAGAAAGGAGGCCAAGTGGGAGCAAGTAAAGACCAGAGAAGAGAGGAAGGATGTGGCAGTGCTGGGCCCCAGTTCCAGTCCCCGAGCTCCTCCTGATGCAGGTGCCCCTTCCAGATGGCACACTCCCAGTACCTTCTGAAAGGCTGTACCGCAGGTCCCCCTTTCCTCCGCTAGTTTGAAGTGTCCAGTTGCCGGCCCCCCCTCAGCCGCCGTGGGGGGTCTCTAAAGCCACTACACACGGAACAAAGAACATAATCAGAGTTTGACAAAGATTTTCTCCCAGTAGTAGAATTTTTAAATTTTTTTATTTTATTTTTTTTTTAAAGATCTTATTTATTTATTCATGAGAGACAGAGAGAGGCAGAGGCAGAGGGAGAAGCAGGCTTCCCGCTGAGCAGAGAGTCCGACACGGGGCTCGATCCCAGGACCCTGGGACCATGACCTGAGCCGAACGCAGACGCTTAACTGACTGAGCCACCCAGGTGCCCCTGAATAATTTTAAAAATGGACATAAGTTTGTGAGGATAGGGACCTTTGCTTTGTTCATGGCTGGACCCCCAGAACCTGGCTCAGTAAGCATGTGTGGAATGAATTAATAAACCTAATTTTGATCTTCGGGAGAATGGTCAGTGTGGTGCAGCCATATAATGGAATACTAAGTAGTCACAGATATCTTGTTTTAAACAACTTTTCAGTGACATTGGGAAATGCTTATTATACATCTCACGTAGAAGTTTCAAAACTGTATGTATATCATTTATTCCCAAGAATGGAAAAGTATATATGCATAGACAATAATAATGTAAGGAAATCCACCGAAAATGTTTCCAAGAGACTGTCCCTAGGAAGTCTGATTATGGGACTATTTTGACCTTTACTTTTTTTTTGGATTTCCCATATTTTCCTCAGTATGCATGTACTCCTTTTCTAATCAGAAAAAGTTACTGAAATATTATTTTGCTTAATAGTGAACATTTGGTCCGCACCTTTAAGGGT